TACACAGCAGCATCGATTTTCTGTAACTTAAAGGGATAGTTCATCCAAAAATGAAAATTACCCCATGATTAAATCACCCTCAAGCCACCCTCGGAGTTATATAAAAAAAAATGCCCTGGTTCGTCAAAGCTTTATAATGGCAGTGAATGGCCGTGTATATTTTTTGAAGTTCATAAAAGTCCATCTATCCATGATAAAAGGCCTTCTGCCGTAAGTTAGTTATTTTAGTCGATAAAGAACAGAGTATAGTGTTATAAAACATTAAATAGTATAGTGTTATAAAACATTAAACAAATAAATAAATAAAATTAAGTATAAAAAAATGTTGCTAACGCATCATCACGGTCTGTGAAAAGGGTCCATATAACCATTGATAGCTGATTTAACTCCCAGGAATCTGTCCATAAACAAACGGATAAGCTTATCTGTGTCTAATCCCTCTGAAATAGCTATTTCTCCTCAATAATTCCCATAAAACATACCATGAGCATATAATGATGCTATAGAAGTGCCTATGGCATATACTGTAAAGCGCTCAAGTGAATGGTCAGCTAGTTTGCAGTTTCCCCAGGTGTCTCTGAAGCCCACACAGGCACACAGCAGTGTGCCCAGAGGACCCATGGCCTCATTTAGATGGCTGAGATCCTCATTACTGTATCCACTCTCCTAACTTACACCTGCTGTAATACGGCGTCGACCTCGCCTACGCTTCGGAAAGCGACACAACGGTACCTTTGAACATGCAGCGGGCTCTCAAGGGAACTGCAACTATGATGCCATGTTGGTCCGCTGTTGAAATTGTATGCAAGTTTATAAACAGATTGCAATTATAATTATTTCAGAATCATGTTGAGAAAACTGTATGACAGGAGCACCAGTTCTTTCCGTTGCACTTCTACCCGCAGGTGGCAGAGAGAGGGGGAGGGCAACAGGGCTGCAGGTGTAATATGGCAGCACTTACATGAGAAGCTGTGTCTCATCTAAAGCATTAATGAGAGCTGAATCTGTCTTTTGTCTCAGATCTGATGTTTCTTGGCACATGAATGTGAGGTGAGCATCATGGTTTTCAGCCATATACTAACCTGGTAAATCCTAGAGTTAATAAGAGCTGCACATACAGATTAAAATACGATGTGTAACATTTGAAGCAAAAACAGCCGGCCATAAAGTGAATTCAAAATGTGTAAATAGGACTGGGTGGTATAACATCAGAAACTTGCCATCCAATAGAGACTTATATATTGTATACTCCCTAGATATATTCGCACAGATAGTTTGCAAACAGACTTTTACTGAAAGATATGGACCCGACAGTAATGCCGCAACATGTAAGTAAACGTGTTGTCTGTGATCAGTGACATCTTATTTGTAATGATTCATGTACAGTCAGACGTTCTTTGTCTTGCTGTTTAGCGCAAGTAAATCAAGCCAGTGACTAAACGGTCAACTTCACATTGTTTAAAATATAATATAAAATATATATAGAAAGCGTTCAAAGAACCCTCCCTTTATAATCACTGGAGCAGTCAATCACAGCTTGAGTTTATCAGTGACTGAGACTCTGTACACTGCACAACAGACATTTCTGTTATAGGCTCACTTAGCTCGATTCAAAGCGGTAAGCTTGTAATAATGTTTTTAATTCCAGTGGTACTGGTGGATTTCCGCTGGAGATTCGAGCATGTCTTTGCGTCATTAGGTCACATCAGTACACGTAAAGAAGGAGTCTCTCGGCTAGTATAAGCTATGTTGCGAGTGAGGATGTTGGAGGTGGAGATTTATAGCCTTTTTTCACAGCACTTGATAAGATTAAACTTATCAAGTGTTCATATGACAATCACCAGTGACAACTGCAGATTCACCCGCTGTAAAATGCAAAAAAAAAACGTTCGGACTTCGGAGTGGCTACAGAAAAAGAGAGACTGCAACTGGACCCATGCCAAAACAAGGATACATATCGGAAGGACTGGACATTACACGTATTCACGCAATGTGCTGATTTGAGAACAAAGTATAATTTGCACGGTTTTGTGTGATATGATAAGTTGAACTTATAAGCAATTGTTATCCTCAAGGGTCCACCTTCATCCAAGTTTAATAAAAGAGAAAGTAATCAAATGATTAAGTCTAGCCCTCAATCGTGTCATGGGGTCTATACGACCCCAATCGACTTTTACTTAACCAAAAAAATGTTCCCTTCATCTCAGTGGAATAAGATTTTGTGACTTTTCATACATTATATATCTATACACACACACAAAACTGGGCTTGATTCGGTTGTTCTGAAGGTATGTATAAAATGTTTACACTTCTGGTCTTCGGGGTCAATATGACCCCACATTGAAATGAATGGGAAATATGAAAAAAACTAAATATATTTTCTTCATGTGTCAAAAAAAGGCCTAGTACTAGAGCATAAATGCAATGTATCATAAAAAAAATTAACATTTCATATGCTAATGCTAAAGCTAATGGTGTAGTTGAGGAATTGTGTGGTATATGGATACAAAGGCACTTTACATCTCCAAAAACACAGCATTAATGAATAGATGAGAAGTAAACAAAAAATGATACATTATTTATATGATTAAAAATGTATATTTTTTGTTCAATTACTCAATCAATTGTTGGGGTCGTATTATAGACCCTGAAGCCCAGAAGTGTAAACAGGAAGGTGGGGTGTGTGATTTTCTTTTTTGACCATTTTTTCAAAATCACTTGTTGAAATGCTATTCCTAACCCATTTAGAGCTACTGAGTTAGAAGCAATGAAATGAAAATTAAGCAATTTAATCATCTGTGGAACGGGCAGGACACGAAAAACTCCAGCCAATCATTTCCAAGACAACCTAGAATCATTGGACAGTTAGTCTGTCAATCAAACAGTCGTACCATACATCCCCCCCCCCCCCTTCGAATGGGTGGAGTAAAAAATCTGCCAGCCGTTTTGCAAATCCAACACCCTACCTTAGTATTTAATTCACAAGATTATCCAAAAATAGGCATTGCCACAAGGTTACATAAATTGTACCCTTTACCCCCAAATTATACAGTGATTTAAACTCATCATCATGTAAAATCTGTGTCCAAGTGACCAGTATATCTTATAATGATCTGTATGAGGACAAATCAAAAGATAGATTCCAACAATAGATTGGTGTCAGGGTTAATGAATTGAAACATGGATTTGTTTTTGCCATTATTAAATGTTCTTTGCTGTGCAGGGGGCAAACATAATTGCCTTAGGTGAGCATTACTGTTTTTAATGATGTCTGTTGTGAAGGCCCAGTGATCCGCACTCAATTACAGCCATTGATTACCTAGCTCCAGCTTTTCAGAGGATGAAAAGGTTTGTTTAAAGATCCGGCAATTTGCTACAGGTGGTTTCGAGCTTAGAGAAAATAAATATTTCAAAACATTTTTGATTGGTAAGGACGACATGAGTATAAATGTTAGACTTATTACAAACTATCTTCTCTGAAAATATAATCACAATTGACCTTGTGCATTTAAGGAAAGCAGTTAAGGTTTGCACAAAGGTTTGTACGATAGCAAGCAGATGTAACCCAGCGACTAGAGAGCCACATTGACCACTGAAGAACTGAATACTTGTTCAAGGGACTTAAGCCATCTCCTGTGGGGCTTTTCCTTTAAATCGGTGTGGAGTGTATTTAAGCTGGTATGGATTAAAAAACGCTGGATAAATGGCATATAAATCCGGCACATTTCATTTTCAGAAAATTTTTAGCTGACAGCAGGCACTAATAAGCCAAACTGAAGTTTAATTGTTATTAATAAATAAGGAGCTGTGTCTAAATTTGCCGTCTACATGTAAAATGCAACCTTCAGAACACCTTCAACCCTTGAGTTTTGTCACATATGAAGTCATTACTTAGGTATAATATTCTACAGGCTACCACAAAAAAGTGAATGTGCAGTGTAGTAATTTTGCAAGGCAGCATATAGATGGCAATATTCTTGTGGGGGTCATCAAGACAGGTCACACAAAACAACTAAAGATTTGTAGCCGGCAGAAATGTCATCTGGCAGTTTCCCCATTATATGGCACATTCGCCATATAATGCAATAATGGTGCCTCCCTGGAGGTACAGAAAACACCACCACATCAGCAACTTACCATGTTAGAAACACAGACCAAACCCCTTACAAAGCAACCAATACCTGTTTAATAAATCTCACTACATTTCAAAACATCCCAAAGGTTATTAGGGCATGTGAATGCAATTTTGTTATATTCAACCTTGTCAAGGAAGCACGAATTGTGAGTTTTGAAGCTCTAAAGGGAAAACTGCAGCACATTGACACAGTTTAATCTCGTCAGCCGGCACTGAAAATGAATTCGTACCTTGTTCTCGCATGCAAAAATTCAACAGATTACAAGCTCCTCTGACTTGAGGCTTGTTGGAGATTAGTCAGGAAGACAATGGTCATATCACAGTGCCAGGAATCACTGTCACAACTTTCAGGTGTTGCTGGCTACAAATGGCTCTATCATGTCAACAATCTTCATTTTAACAAGTAGACTACTGTATAAGGGAATTTCAAGATTCAAGTTATTAATGTGATGACTTCCCATAAGGAATGAATAGCATGGCTTTAGACTTCAGGATAAAATATATTGCTAAAAAGTGAATATCTGTTAAAAACGTCTAAAATGACTGTCTATTTCATAACAACAACAACAGAAAACATGAGAAAAGCCAGTATTATTGATGTTAGGGATTACTTTCCATCAACTTATTTGAAATTTTGCTTGAACGTTAACACATTAAACAGTACTATATTAAAAAGTAATCTTGTTGTTTAAGAAAAAAATGTAATCACGTGAGATAAACAAATCCTATGTATGTAGGCTATGTTTCAAAAATGATAGCCTAGCCTATTTTAACTTTCTCCGTTAGCCCACAGCTTCAACAGACGTAAAATTTGCCCAATTAGGCGTTATTTCTACTGTATAGAGTAAGCTGATATTTCTCTTACCTGGAAACACCCACAGTAAGGTGAGAAGCAGAAATGTTAGAGGTCTCCAGTCCATCAGCCTCTCCATCGCTCCTCTCGAAGCGCCCACTCGCGCGACAACTCATATAGCATCTAGTGATACTCTCGCGCTCTTCGTAGTCTGCATGAGCTGTCTTCTGCCTTCCCTCGTTCGTTAAAATTTATATTTTGTGTGAGTATATCAATTCACCGACAGAAGAACCCGAGTCAAGCTTGTAAATCCCCTCCCCTTCTCTCATCCGCGCAGCTCATTTGGAGAAGTGCTCTTTGTAAAGCTTCGGTGCTTCCTTCCTTAAAATAAACTCTGTAGATATTTAGTTAAGTATTTTCATTCATAACTGAAGTTTTAGTAGTTCTTGGAAGGTACGAAGCGAATCTGTCACCTTCCCCTTGCAAGTGTAGATCATGTGTGCGTGCGTGAAGCCACGCCCCTTTCTCTCTACAGGTGTTACGAGCTCCTCGGTCATTCCCTCTCTTGCATTACCCGGAGTAGCAATTAATCCAAAAACTATTTTTAATATACATATATTACATTCGTATTTAATAATATTGAGTTTTACATCATTTGGATTATACTTCATATGATGTTCTCATATACGACCAAAAAAAGGTAAGTTCAAAAATGAATGTCTTACAAACTGGGTTTACCAGTAGGCCTACCAAACATGCACACAATTAACTAAAACATTCATCCTGACATAAGACAACAACAAAATGTGCAACAAAACCAAAAGTACAAGTACATTAAAAACCCATTCTGCACTAAATCCTAGGACAAAAATATAGTTGGTTTAACTTAAAAAAGTAAATTACCTGGCAGCCATTTTGAGTTCATTGAAATGAAACATTTTTAGTTAATACAATGGAGATTGTAAATATAAAATGTTGTTATCTGATCAACATTAATTATCCAAGTTGATTTGACAAAAGATAAAAAGTTGCGATAACAAATCTTGAAAATATCTTTTTTTTTACTGTGGGTGAATGGGTCTAAACCACAAATTAATTGATTTCCTGTATGTTCGTTTGAACTATAAAGCAATGCATTCATCCTCACCTGATCTGCCTTAAAAATCTGACTACTACAGCATCGGATTCGTAATAAATAATGTTTTTTTGTCCTATAAGAATAATTTTCAGTGTCCGTTTCTTTCAGACTGAATTGGTGTAACCAATTCTGGTGAATGCATTTGTGACATGAGTTGATCTGATATTAGGTTAATCAATATGGGCTACAGTAGAAGGCATATATACAGACCCTGAGCAAAGCTCATTCTCACCCTATCCGATTGGCCGGTTGCCATAGAAACACAACCGAAGTTCTTCCATTAGGGCTGCTCAATTATTGGGGACTGGTGAGCTCAGGTCTTTGGTTGTCTTGTCTGAGCTTTACATCTAACTTGGTACTACACGTACAACGTGTCAGGCACAAAGGCTGTGATTAAGAGAAAATGGTCAAATAAGTCTTGGTGGAAGGTCTAACATGTGGTGTACGGTTTTAAACTATAGCCTGCCCTACAAATTAGCTCCCTTTCCAGACAATGATTTTCAAATTGCAACATAAGTATATTTTAAATTATGAAATTTATAAAACAATTGAATACCTTGGGCAAAGTCAAATGAACTTTCACACAACCAACACATTTTAAATATGATATTATATATAGATTTATAACTAGCAAAATATAGAATACAATAGGAAAAATCTTTGTCTGTGGGTGTCACCAATAAAAACAGAGAATGAAGAGTGGCAGCTGCTGTCACTGCTACTTCAGAGAGAAGTGCAAAAATGATCAGATCTTAGGGTTGTTGATTGATAAAGCAGTGACAATACATAGATTCTACAGTCTGTCAATGTCGTGTATGCAACGCAGAGGGAGACAAAATTTGACAGAAAAATATTGCAACGTGACAACAGATTCTTCTCATTCAGTTTTATAATATCCAGTTGGATTTCCAAGTCACTGAACACTAAGAGCTATATGGTTGAGGGTCAGAGGTCACTCTTCTCAACTTGCGTACGGCCGTTAACGGAAGCCAGGGATTATAGTTTATGAAGTTATAAATATTCACATTTTTATTATCGCTTCGCTTCAGAAGGCCTTTATCAACCCTCTGGAGCAATATGGATAACTTTTAAGATGGATGGGTGGGTTTTTTGGGCTTCAAAATCGAATGTACCATTCACACTCCCATTATAAAGCTTGGAAGGGTCAGGATATTTTTCTAAATATAACTCCGACTGTGTTTGGCTGAAAGAAGAAAGTCAAACACAACTATGGGCTTGAGGGGGGAGTAAATTATGGGATAATTTTCATTTCTGGGTGAACAAACCCTTTAAGCCAATAGCCTTTTGTTTCCATTCATTTAATTGACATTGTAGTTGCAATTATGTTGTTTCTTTAAAAGAAGTTCAGGGAAGAACATAAATGCATAAACTGAGAACAAAACATTTTCTATAATAATAATAATTAAGATTTAAGATAAACCTACAGTATTGGCTTCTATAGAATGAATTATTTTGGTGGTTATTTGTCTTAAATATGAAAGATTATTCATAGCTTTTAACCCAAAAAAAAAAAAAAAAAAAGAAAAAAAAAGAAGTAACATAATTATTTTCTGTAATTTTCTTTCTGAACAAATAAAATATTTGGTGAGTCTTTTCTGCCACCTAGTGGTCAAGGTAGACTCTCAAAAAATTCAACACAACATCAACTCGTTGGCTGACGAGATGAACATTCATCTCGTCAGCCAACGAGTTGAACACACGTGAACGCCACCACAATGTCGTAAATACGAGTAGGAAGCTCGGGATTTTCTTTAAGCCCCGATCTTTACGAGTTGAGTGAAAAACATGGGCAGAATAGCCGACTACATGGGCGTAATTAGCAGTGATATTGTCAGGTTTTTCTATTTACAGCTCATTAAGCTAATTGCCTGCACATAATATGATGACATTAGCTATATGTAGCCTAATATCTATCGATAAAGCTTAATAAATTAATTAAAAACATAAAAAAGCAAAGCACACCTGATGCACATTTCTTAGTTCTTACTTTGTTTAACTATAGTTTAAGAACTTTGCAGTATTTTTGTGTAATTAATTAAGAGAAAGTTCACCGCCATCTTGCTCCACGAAAGTGACTTGAACTCACCTGCCGTCTTAAACACGACTTCCCACCTCGTAAGTAGGCTATACGAATTTCACTGGAGGACTGAACGCACCAATAATATTTAATTTTCCAAAGGAAAGACGGTCAAGTAGGCTACAGTTCACAGAAAGATATTTTTAAAATACTTAGCTTAATATAAATGTTTGACAACTGGGTTAGGCTACTGTGTAAAAATGTTAATCTGTAGCCTCCAATAAATGGTTTTAAATCCGTTTAAACTCTAAGTCAAACATACACAGATTTACTGACATTTAAACTCCCCCATACACTCTGCCGTTCCATTGCCATTCCAGTGGTTACACAATAATCCAGACTTAGTTTTCATTTAGTGAGGTTTTGAGTGCAGCTCATGTAAACAACGACATATATGGAGCATATGAGCCTGGAATAGGAACTGACCCTGGAGATTGAGACAGCAGCTCTTCACATTGAACAATAAGCTCTTGACTGTAAATTCAAGTCAGTGTAAAGTATGCACTTTATATTACATGTGTGTCTGTTGTGCCAGTATTGTAAGATTAAGAATATATTTTTTTAATTAGCCCTATATTAGCTACTTTACTGGAAAGCTCATTCTCACCCAGCTCTCCGATTGCCGGTTGCCATAGAAACACAACCAAAGTTCTTTGCATTTGGGCTGCTCAATTATTGGGGAATGGTGAGCTTAGGTCTGTGATTGTCTTGTCTGAACTTTACATCTGAAAGAAGGCCACTTTCAAAGACATGCAGTGGGTTTTGTGTACATGCCAGATCAGACACATGTGGATGTGATGATTGCATGGAGTGCACCCAAAAGAATGGCCAAGAAAAACACTTCTGTCTTGGGAAAGATGGGAGATGAAAAACAGAAAAATGTAATCGAAAATCAATAGTAGCCTAAAACTTTGGCTGAAACCTTGCTGTTGACAACCACGTGGCTATGATGAATAGGAAAACTCAAAAAAAGGGAAATTTCCTTGAGATTTTAGATCTTGAGAGTAGGCCTAAACATGATGCCTTAGAGAAAAAATGGCTGTCACAGTGTCCCAGAAAAACTAATGATACACTCATGGTACACGGCCACACTGAGACATTCAACACACCAGAGAAAGCATCATGCTGGAAACTCATGTAAACTCCCACTGCAACGTAACAATGATAGGCTATTTTCTCAGCTTGACGTTGAACTAATGCTCCATGCTCGTACCATGATAACATTACATTTGTGGTGGTGTTAACCATCTGCCGATGCTGATCCGTGTTTTCATCCTAAGTCAATCCGATTCACATTTGGCCTGACGAGCTTCAGCGGATCATTTCTTTTTGTTTTGGGCTACATATAAATGTAGACATATGCTAAATGTAGATTATGTATATTTTATCTGATGCTTGACTTTTGAGGAGTATATTGCAAATGCAAAAACATGATTATGTGTATCTCTTATTGGAACCTTTAGATGGGTTTAGACTTTTCCCAAGTAACTACTACGATATTAAAAAATATGTTCAAAAGACAATGATTTAAAATCTTGAACATCAACCAAATCCTTATTTTATGATGCTTAATATCGTGAGCAGTTCTCTTCTAATTAAACATCTGTTATAGAGATCCATGTATCTGGAATCAATAAGTGGACGGTTTGCAGGGGGCAATAGTGTTCAGTTAACTGCCCCTTGGCCATTCAGACTCAACAAAACTAACAAAGGGAGGGTAAAAGAACAATGAGGTGAACCTCAGCTGTGAGAATGTACCTCATCACGGGGACAATAGACTTCTATATTCTGCCTTCATAAACACATTCCTTGCTTTTACTTTTGTTTGTAAATTGTGCAGCACTCTTTTCTTTGCATGAGGTACTCATTTAATTGCATAGAGTTACAAAAGACATGTTTGGTATATCTGTTGACAGGTTCTCTAATGAATCTTTGGATTCAAATGATGCAGAGAGAGAGAGAGAGAGAGAGAGAGAGAGAGAAAGGGAAAGAAAAAGACAGAAAGACTTGGAGCTCCTGTGACGTTATCATTTCCATTCCAATAGCTGGAACTGATGTGTTTGTTTCACCTCTGATTTAGACCAAGATAAGTCCATCCAAATTTTATTTCAACAGTATATCTTAAATATCTTGGACTAACTTGAATCGATTGTATTTATGCTAGATATTTGTTTTTTTTCTACTGAATACTTCTGGGCATTGAAGTGTAGAGGACTGAAGCAAAAAGTTTCTGTGCACAAG